TGCCTCGAGAAGTCCCTTCAGCATTTGTTGTGAAGCTGGTTTGGTGGTGCTGAATTCTCTTAGCTTTTGCTTATCTGTAAAGCTTTTGATTTCTCCATCAAATCTGAATGGGAGCCTTGCTGGATAGAGTATTCTTTATTTTAAAATTAATTAATTTGTTTGTTTATTTGGTGGCGCTGGGTCTTAGTTGTGGCAGGCAGGATCCTTAGTTGCAGCTTGAGGGCTCCCTAGTTGAGGCTTGCTGGCTCCTTAGTTGCGGCATGCGAAGTCTTAGTTCTGCCTGTATGTGGGATCTAGTTCCCTGACCAGGCATCAAACCCAGGCCCCCTGCATTGGGAGCGCAGAGTCTTCACCACTGCACCACCAGGGAAGTTCCGGGTAGAGTATTCTTGGTTGTAGGTTTTTTCCCCAGGTAGAGTATTCTTGGTTGTAGGTTTTTTTCCCTTTTGTCACTTTAAGTATATCGTGCCAGTCCTGTCTGGCCTGCAGAGTTTCTGCTGAAAAATCAGCTGATAACCTTATGGGGATTCCCTTGTTATTTGTTGCTTTTCCCTTGTTGCTTTTAATATTTTTTCTTTGTATTTGTCAGTTTGATTGATATGTGTCTCAGTGGGTTCCTCCTTGGGTTTATCCTGTATGGGACTCTCTACACTTCCTGGAGTTGACTGTTTCCTTTCTCATGTTAGGGAAGTTTTTGGCTATAATCTCTTCAGATATTTTCTCAGGTTCTTTCTCTCTCTCGTCTCCTTCTGGGACCCCTATAATGCAAATGTTGGTGTGTTTAATGTTATCCCAGAGGTCTCTGAGATTGTCCTCATTTCCTTTCATTCTTTTTCTTTATTCTGTTCTATGGCATTGATTTCCACCACTCTGTCTTCCAGCTCACTTATTTGTTCTTCTGCCTCAGTTATCCTGCTATTGATCCCTTCTAGTGTATCTTTTTTATATTTACTTATTTATTTATTTATTTTTGGCTGCGTTGGGCCTTAGTTGCACGCGGGCTTTTCGTTGTGACACATGGGCTTCTCTCTGCGTGGGCTTCTCTCTAGTTGTAGTGTGCAGGTTTTCTCTCTCTAGTTGTGGCGCACAGGCTCCAGAGTGCGTGGGCTCTGTAGTTTGCGGCACACAGGCTCAGTAGTTGGAGCGCACAGGCTTAGTTGCCCCGCGGCATGAGGGATCTTAGTTCCCTGACCAGGGATTGAACCCGTGTACCCTGCATTGGAAGGCGGATTCTTTACCACTGGACCATCAGGGAAGTCCCCCTTCTAGTGTATTTTTCATTTTAGTTGTATTCTTCATCTGTTCATTCTTTAAATCTTCTAGCTCTTTGTTCAACATTTCTGTGTCTTCTCGGTCTGTGTCTCTGTTCTTTTCCTGAGATTTTGGATCATCTTTACTATCATTACTCTGAAGTCTCTTTCAGGTAGATTGCCTATCTCTTCTTCATTTAGTTGTTCTTGTGGGTTTTATCTTGTTCCTTCATCTGAAACATATTTCTCTGTCATCTCACTTTGTCCTTCTGGGTTTGTGGTCTCCTTTCCATAGGCTGCAGGATTGTAGTTCCTCTTTATTCTGGTGTCTGCCCCCTGGTGGGTGAGGTTGGTCCAGGGACTTATGCAGGCTTCCTGGTGGGAGGGAGTGATGCCTGCCCTGTGGTGGGTGGAGCTGGGTGTTTTCCCTCTGGTGGGGAGGGCTGTGTCAAGAGGTGGCTTTAAGCTCAGTACTTTAGGCAGCCTCTCTGCTGTGTTCTTACTTTAGGCAGCCTCTCGGCTGTGTTCTTATCTGGCTGGTTGTTTGGACTGAGGCGTTCCAGCACTGGAGCCTGCAGGTTGTTGGGTGGGGGCAGGTCTTGGTGCCAAAATGGGGACCTCCAGGAGAGCTCACACTGACCAGTGTTCCCTGGGGCCTCTGCCACCAGTGTCCTTGCCCCC